TGGACAGAAAGCCAGCTGAGCTTCCAGAAAGGCCGAAGCCCATGCCCGTAGCTCCCTCCCTCTGCAGCCTTCAGCTACTATGAAGAGAAGAATAGACTCAGGTCTTCTCTAGAGGCCCCTCCCAGCAGACCCAGAGGCTGTCTCCAGAGACAGCCTCTCCCAGCCTTACACCAGCCAAGATTGAGGGTGGGGGGCAGGAGGGGCAGGCCCCTTGGCACAACACAGCTGGGAATTGGGCAGCTTCCCCCTACAGACACTTCTCCACCCCGTGGGAGCCTCGGAAAGGCCTAAGCCAGGGAGTGATGAGCCTGGAAGGCTCCTCCTCCCCCCTCCTCCTGCCTCCCTGGGACTGGGCCATCTCTCTGTGTTCTGGCCTCACCTCAGCCCCCTCCCCTTCCTGTGGCTTCTCTCCCCTCCATCCCCTAGAAGTGAGAGTCCTGAGGCACAGGAAGAGTGAGTAGACGGGCTGCTGAGGCTTTCTGCTGAGGCTGAGGAGGAGCGGGGCAGGGGGGGTAGGGGGAGGAGGCAAAGCACGGGGGCGGGGAGGGGGTATAGCAGTATAGCAGAAACGCTGGGAGTCAAGGGCAGAGCCAAGGGCAGCAGGCAGGGGTGCACCCTTATCTGCTTTCTCACCCTTGTGCACCCCCAGCACCAAAGCCTGCAACACCCATGGGGTTGGTCTTCCCTCTCCCTTCCCTGTAGCCCAAGGTCCACAAATCAGGGGTGGGGGGTGGCCATTTTGAACACCCTCAGACTTGGCCCCCTTCCTTGGGGCTCTCAAGCCGGTGGGGTTGAAAAATGCAAACTTCGCCAGGCATTTTGCATGTTATCTGCTGGCCTCTCTTCCTGGCTGCGCCCCTCCCAGATCCCTGGGCAGGAAGCCACTTTCCAGGGTCCCCAGAGCTGAGCCTCGCTGCGCCCTAAGTGTGCTCTGAGCTTGCAACCTGTGTGTCTGCTCTTGTCTGTCTGTGGGTGGGTGCTGGGGGGGGAGGGGGGAAAGGGAGGGGAGGGCAGGGCCTGGCCAGGCTGGAGGCTGGTACTCCAGTCTTCTGAATCCTACGGCCATGCAGGCCCCAGGTGACTCAGTCCAAGGGTCGCTGGGCTTTGCTGACGCAAGGCCACAGGGAGACTCCACCCTTGGCCGGGCAGAGCCAGAGAACCCTGGCCAAAGGTCGAGGAGCCTGTCACAGGTAGTATTTTTGAGCTGGGCAGTGTGCTGGGAGGAGACATTCGATAGAGCCTTCAGGGTCTACCAAGGCCACCATGAACTCCCTGGGGCCCCCAGGCGGGGGCCCCACACCCTGTGAGTAGTTCAGGTGGATGGTGGGGCCACTATGGGCCAGAGCCAAGACTATGGCTCCTCCAGCAGCCCTGAGGGTCACTGGCTGGGCTCGGGATCTGGAGCGCTGCTCCAGCTTCCCCTGCCCCCTTCTTGGCTTTGAGAGGGGCCGTGGAGAGGCCATGGGGGGAGGAGAAGGGATGCAGCCTCTCCCCCAAGCTAGTGCTTTCTCTCCTGCCTCTGAGCAGGCACCAAGTCCTTCAACATGATGTCCCCGACTGGCGACAATTCGGAGCTGCTGGCTGAGATCAAGGCAGGCAAGAGCCTTAAGCCCACGCCTCAGAGCAAGGGGCTGACTACCGTGTTCTCGGGCAGTGGGCCCCAGGCCTCCCAGGTAGGCGGACCGGGCACACGTCCCACCCCGGCTCCCTGGCTCCTTGTCAGCCCGGCGGGCCCTCAGCCTTGCCGCTTCTCCCCCCCAGCCCGAAGCGCCGCAGCCGCTGGTGTCGTCCACGCCATCGAGGGCCCGCAGCCCCACCCCGCCGGCCGCTGGGCCCCAGCCGCTGCTCAACGGCAGCCTGGCCCCCGCGCCACCTACCACCCCGGCGCCGGGCGTGCAGCTAGACGTGGAGGCGCTCATCCCCACTCACGACGAGCAGGGCCGGCCTATTCCGGAGTGGAAGCGCCAGGTGATGGTGCGCAAGCTGCAACTGAAGATGCAGGAGGAGGAAGAGCAAAAGCGGAAGGTGGGCGGGGCGGGGCGGGGTAGGGTAGGGTGGGGCTGGGGTCTGTCTCTCCCTGCTTCCCTGCCTTTCCCAGGTCTTCCTGCCCCTTCAACCAGGCCTTTCAGCCCCTGGCAGTACCCATTACGTTGGTGGCATAGTGGGTTACACATTTGAATGCTAACCCTAAGGCCTGCAGTTTGAAACCACCAGCAGCTCCTTAGAAAGAGGCTTTCTACTCTGCTTAACAGTTAGTCTGTAAACACACGGGGGTAGTTATAACCTGTCTTACAGGGGTCACTATGAGTTGGACCCTGTGGCACTAAGGAATAGAAACGCCCCCTCCTTGCCCCCTAGGGTAGCTATTCCTAGTGTGCACCCCCACCCCCAGGTGGCAGTGTTTATCAAATTCTAATGAACCTTCAAATGGTCTGAGATCTGGTTGAAATGCTCCTTTTAATTCTAAGAGGTTGGGGTTGAGGCTAAGACTCTGCATTTGCTAACAAGCTCTGGGTGACTCTGCTACTACCAGCCCAAGAACCACAGTGAACAGCTAAGAGGGTTTTGGTCTCTAACAAATGGGCCTGGTGCTGTCCCAGCACTCGCCTTTCAACTGCAGATTGCTGAGCCTCCAGCAGTCTCCGTTTTCTCATCTGCAGGATGTGCTGAGTGCCATATGCTGCTGAGGCTCTGGGATTCCTTGGCAACTAGAACTGGGCCTGCTCTGTGGCTCAGGAGTCAACCAACAAGCAGCAATGACGCACACACATACACACACGCATACACATCACCCTCTCAACAGTGATAAGTGCCACAAAGGAGGGAAAAAACAGGGTGACCGGAGGAGAGGGAGTCCTGGGGTTCTTACAGCACAGCCAGCCCTGTGACGGGGGATCGCTAAACTGGCCACCCTACACAGGCTGGGGGCAGTGTTAGGGGACAAGGGGGACTTGGAAGATGAGCAAGAATTGGGGGAGCAGAGCTGGTAGGAGAGGAGTCTTGGAAATCAGGATGGGTGTAGTTCCTGCTGGGCTGTTCATGGAGGGAGGGAGAGGGCTGCGCTGGAGAGGTCAGTAGGGGTCAGGTCACCAAGGCCTGGCCAGCCATCTGAAGGAGAATGGACTCTTCTCCTGGAGCAGTGGAGCGCCCCATCTTGGTTTTAAACAGAGATATTGCATGCTCTCCTGTTTGTATGTGGAACTGGGATTACAGGGTGCAAAAAGGACTTGAGTTTAGGAGGGGCAACACTCCTGTCCCCGCCCCACCACACACACCCAGGCTAGAAAATCCTGGCTCTTGAGTGGCAGTCTAGAGGTGGAGAAAACTGAGGAATGAAGGAGAACTTACGAAGTGCCTGCCAAGCCTAGCCAGTCTTTGCATTGTTACTGTCCTAAGGGGCTGAGGGGAGGTGGACATCCTAATGGATGCCACAACTGTAGCCTCTTTGAGGGTGAAGTGGGACCGCCCCCTTTGCTCCAGGGCTTCCTACTGCATTGGGCAGGGATGATTTGGGCCGCCAGGAGCCAGTGAAGTACCAGGCCTTGGGCTGGGCTGGGGGAATGCCGGTTTCGATGCCTTTTGCACGTTCCCTTGGTGGTGTAATGAGCAGCCAAGCCAGGCATGGAGAGCCCGATGCCTGCCCGCCTGCCCTGCCTCGCAGCAAGCGCCCAGCAACGGCCGTGCTCCCCACCAGCGACCCAAGTGGACTATGGCCAGCGTCCGGAGCGGTGACCTGAGCCGAAGCCTTGCTTCAGTGTAGTCGCCCGCCGGCCAGGCGCAGCCCGCCCTGGCCCATCCCGGCAAGCGCAACCCCGGAAGAGCCATTACACCACTGGGTACATGCAAAAGGGCGCCGCTGGCGACCCTGCAGAAGTCAGAGCCGGGCCAGAGGGAGACGCGCCTCCCTCCCCTCTCTTGTCTTCCCCCTGCTTAGCTGATGGCCGCCAGCCCATGCTGCTATCCCCCTGAGGGCTGGAGGTACTCCCGTGCGCACAACGCCATCCTTGGGCCCTTCGGCGAGCTCATGACCCAGGCCGACATCCTCCGCATCGAGCAGCAAATAGAAAACCTGCAAGTGCTGCACAAGGCGCAGAAGCTAGAGGCGCGCCTGGAGCAGCTGGAGCTGGAGCTGCAGCAGTTGCTTCCCATTTCGGCGGTGCTGGCGGCGCCGCGCTTCACGGTCGACCCGCGCCGCATGCACGGCCGCGCCGCCAGCTTACCTGCCTGGTGCTGCAAGATCTCCACGCTTCTCAAGAGCATGGCCTCGCTGCTGGCCGCGCTGGGCGGCCGACCCACCCACTTGACGGAGTTGCTGGCCGCCGACACCGGCCAGCCACTGGCGCCGCTGCCGGACGCGCCCTGGCGGCCCGGGCCGCAGTGCCTGGGCCGCTCGCACTCGCTCAGCTGGTGCCGCGACGCGGTGGCGCGTGAGATCCTCGAGTGTGGAGTCTCCGTGAAGCACCTGCGAGCCACCTACGAGCAGCTCGCCCAAAGCTCGGCACCTGCGGGCGGCCCGCGCCACAAGTTCTCGCTGCACGCCGGTGACCCGGCCTGCGAGCCCATCCTGGAGGAGGAGTACATGGCAGCCGGCACGGGCGGGCCCAATGTCACGACTGCTCGCGACCTGCCGTCCGTCGGGGAAGCCCGGTGCGCGCAGGACCCGGCCGCGGCGCCAAGCAGCCAGGCGGCGCGGCGGGAGCCCGATCAGCTGGCTCAGAGGCCACCGCTCTCCACGGAACTGCGCGGCGTCCAGGACTACATCGACCTGCGCAAGGAGCGCATCGTCTACCTCTTCCTGGAGCACTGGAGCAAGTGGACTTGCCGCGGTCCCGCACCGCACACCCATGCGCGCCTGCGCAGGTTGCTGCCGCGAGTGCTGGCTGCCGGAGCCGACCCGGGCCCGGAGGCCGCGACTGCCTCCCAGCCACCCACAGAGGACGGCTCCGACGGGCGGCTGCGGCACCTGCTGAAGCAGCGGCAGCTCGTGGACAAGCTGCTGGGCCGCTGGCGGAACCTGCGACAGCGGGCGAAGGCATGCGCGCCCTTTGGCCCAGGCCTGGCCCACGGCCTATACTGGCCGGAGCACTTCCTGCCGCCCCTGGACTGCGCTGCGCCCCCGAGCTACGACAGCCTCACGCTGGACCTTTTCATGCTGGGCTACTTCCAGCTGCTGGAGATGAGCTTAAGTCGAGAGGAGCGCAAGTTCCGCCACCTGCTGTGCTACGAGATGTTCGACCGGCTGGGCAGCCACCCGTGGGAGCTCATCCGCCTCTTCCACCGCGTGGTACTCGAAGAGGTGGAGGCCGGCAGGCGCAGCTGGAGCGACGGCTTCGACGACCTCAGCCACCGATTCTTCGGAGATGGCCCGGAAGCTGAGTCAGCCTGGAATCCAGAGGTGGAAGAGGAGGCGGCGGAAAAGAAGGAAAACCAGGCAGAAGAAATAGAGGAGGAAGAGATGGAAGCGGAGGAGAGGGAGCCGGAAAAAGAAGCTGCTTCCGCTCAGACAGAGGACTGGCTGGATGGGCAGCCCAAAGCCCCTGAGCCTCAGGCCCCGCCCCCGCCAGCCCCCCCACCCCCACCCCCACGGTTGGCTTCGCCAAGTTCAGAAGTCCCCTCGGAAGACCCCCTGGAGCTGGTGTCTGACATGGGCGAGTTCAGCAATGAGGACATTTGCCGCTACATTGACCGCAGCTTCTCCTTCTGGAAGGAGAAGGAGGCAGAGCTGTTTGACATTTGAACAGGGGACCCCGGAATTCACCCTCAGGCAACACTCAGCCAGAAGCCGGCAAGAGAGTCCAGGGCAGATGGTCCTCAAATCATCCAGGACCAGGCTGCACCAGCTTTTAAGGCCCCATCATGGGAAGATGTGGGGCATTGGTTGAGCGTTGTGGGACACGGCACGGAGCAAGCTGTCCATCGCCAGCCATAGGGCGTGCTGGGCTCTGCAAGGAGCCTGGCAGAAATTGCAAGCCCCCAGGAGTGAGGGACTGAGGGCCCTTTGGGCGGGCCACTGCAGTCTCTCTGGTTTTCACTGGAGCTCGAGGCTGCCCCCTGGCTGAGGTCAAGAGGGAGCATGTGTGCAGTGTTCTGTTTGCTGTGCTGTGTGCAGACCCTCTCTTCTGTAACACCGAGTAATAAAGCCCTTTGCTGTCAGGTACGCATGGTGGACCACCCCACAGTTGCAGAGTTGGTGCCCACTCCATCTGGCGGAAGGACTGGCTCGGACACACCTTCCCCCGTCCCAGTGGGGAATCAGGCTCAGCATCTCTGGCAATCATCCCAACTTGTAGAGCCTCTACTCCTTCCTGCACCGAGTCCAACCCTGACCCCCTCTGAGGGAGCCAGACACTTCATCCCTATGTCCTGTCGAATAGCATCTGAAGGGTCTCTTTTGCACCCCCAACCTCCTCCAGGCACCCCTCCCTTTGATGGGCTGTGCCCCTCTCCCACTCCCCACCCTTCCAGCCTGTGCTGGCCCTGAGACTTGTGCTGTATTTCAGGAGGAGGAAGAGGAGGCCCGATTGGCCAGCATGCCTGCCTGGAGGCGGGACCTCCTGCGGAAGAAGCTGGAAGAGGAGAGGTAAGCTAGAAGTCTGGAGGGTGTGGGGTGGAGTGGAGCCTGGTGACCCCAACTAACGCTGTCTCTCTTTCCTTCCAGGGAACAGAAGCGGTGAGTGGGCGTGACCTGTCTTCCCCCCTCCTGAGTGAGCCACAGAGGTCTGCCCTTCTGACCCCTATTCCAGCCCCATCTGGGTCACTGTCATATAGCACAACCTCTGTTCCTGATAATGCCACCAGACCCTTTTCCCCAAATAGCCTGCCCCTGTTTCCATAATTGAGCCCCCATGCCCTAGTAAAAGGAGCTCTGGTGGCCGTGGCAGGTAAGCTTTGGACTGCTATGAAAGACTGGCGTCTCACACCCACTAGCCCCTGCAAGGAGGGAGAAAGAGGAGACTATCTGCTCTATCATAAATATTCACAGCCTGGAAACCTAGCTCTGCAGGGTGGCTATGAATCAGAAGTGGCTCGATGGCAGTGGGTTTGGTTTTGGGGTTGACTATATCCCAACAGCCTTGTTCCCAATATCCACTCCCATCTCCACTAGTCCTAGTAGCAATGACCTTCCACACCTGGCCCCTCGTGCTGTCCGGCAGAAAGATAATGCAAGCCACCCGTCACTGAAGGCTTTTTAGTAGCCACACAAATATATATACACAGAAATAGGTGAATTTAATTATATTTTATGTAGTACAGTTTATCTAACATAGTATTTCAACATATAGCCCATATAAAAAGTTATTGGGGTGCTTCTTGTGTCTTTTTTAAAAAGGCTTTGAAATAGCTTGTGTATTTAACACTTAGCTCACAGCTACTGAGTCGATTCTGACTCCAAGCGAACCTACCCTATAGGACAGGGTAGAACTGCCCCTGTGGGTTTCTGAGACTCTATATCTTTATGGAAGTAAACAGCCTTATTTTTCTCCCATGAAATGACTGGTTCAAACCGCTGACTTTGTGGTTAGCAGCTCACTGCATAATTCACAACACTAGGCCACCAGGACTCCTTTAACACTTGTAACACATCCCGATTTAGAGCAGCCAAACTTCAAGTGCTCAAGAACCACACGTGGCAGGCAGTGACCCCGTCCAGGAAACCAACTGCAGTCCATTCTGAATCATTGGGGTTTGGGGTGTGCAGAGTAGAACGGGAGGGCTTTCCAGGACAGTCCCCTTTGGAAGCAAGTCACCGTGCCTGTCTTCCGAGGTGCCTTTGGAGAAGTTGGAACTCTCCATAGTTGAGCATTTAGCACTTAACCATTTTAGCCAGCTAAGAACTCTAACCGCCCCTCACCCACCCAAAAAAAATCCCTCCAGAGGCCACTGCTTTTGAATAGATTCTGACTCATAGTGAACCTTTGGGACAGGGTAGAGCTGCCCCAGAGTCTCTGAGGCTACAGATTTTTACAGAAGCAGACTGCCTCATCTTGCTCCATTGGAGTGGCTGGTGGGTTTGAACCACCAATCTTGAGCAGCCCAATGCTTAACCCACTATGTCACCAGGGCTCCTGACTTGTCAACAGTGCTCCTATCCAAGGTTTCTAATAAGCTTGGCCCCAGTTACACACCTCCCATCTCCCCGATAATGTGATCCCTCCGCCCCCCAGTAGCCCACCCCATTCCCCAAATCCAGATGGTCCTGCTGCGGCAACTCAAGTCCTGGTAGGATAACCTTGGTCTTTGCTGGCTGCAGCCCCTCTTTCATCCCTTAGTGACCCAGGATGACCCAGCACCTATTTTCAGTAGTGCCACTAGCCCATAATAACTCACCCATGACTTCCTACTTAACAGCTTCTGTGTGCTCTAATGACCTCTCTGTGCTTTACTGACCTCTGCCCCAGTCAAGTCTCCCTGCCTCCAGCCATTGGGCTATGACTTGGAGTTGACCCCATGGCAAGGGGTTTGCCCCAAGAGCTCATCACCTGCCCTCCATTACTTAGCCCCTCTGTCGTGCGTAGCCCACTCCTTGCCGATCTAAGGTGACCCTGGGCCCGGTGCCTCTCAGCCTTCTGTCCACGCTGGGTCCAGTGCCTGCCTGAGGTTTCACTGTGCTTCTGCCCCGCCCCACCCCCAGAAAAGAGGAGGAGCGACAGAAGCAGGAGGAGCTGCAGCGAGAAAAAGAGCAGTCGGAGAAGCTGCGGACACTGGGCTATGATGAGACCAAGCTGGCGCCCTGGCAGCGACAGATCATCCTGAAGAAGGGAGACATCGCTAAGTACTAGGCTTCATGGCCTCCTCTCCGCAGTCTATGAGCTCGGTGACTCCAGTCCCAGCTCGGCAGAAGAGCTGGGAGCAGCGTCGCCTCCCCTGCCGCACTAGACCCTCCCCCCATCTCCTCTTTCCCCACCTTCAGCATCCCAGCCGTGGATGACGCTGGGGCGCCCCACCGCCCCGCCCGCCACCGCGCCACCGCAGCAGCCAGCCGACGCTCAGGAAAAGTACCCAAGCTGTTGAAGTGAAAAAAGATGCTGCTTATTTGCATGCCGATTTACATACACTTGCATATTTGTCGAATGTCAATGCACAGAGCTCTCTCAACCCGTGGGTGGTGACTTTGTTCTCCTGCGGGGCTCGCGCCTGCAGCCCCCTCCCCCACACCCTGGAAACTGAGTCGCAGGGGCATCCTGCAGAGGCCAGCACTGGGGTTTGGGGACGGGGCTTTCCTCCCTCCCTCCCTGACCCAGATCTGCAGCCCAGCCTCATTTCCCATCCCCACGAGGGTTTCCTCTCAGTCACTTGTTTACCAGAAACGATGAAAACTGCAGCCTGCCCATGGGTCGAAGACTACCCATGTGGGGCCATCTCTGCCCCCGGCCCGCCTGGGCCCAGCCAGAACCCTTGCGTACAGACCCGTGGAGACTAGGGCCTCTGGACTGTCTCCATTTGCTGCCGTTCTCCCCTCCCCGTGCCCCAGCCCCTCATTAAAGCTCTCTGCGCCTCTGGGCCTCCCGCGGACTCACTCGCCTTCAGTGGGGGCTACCTCTGTCTCTCCCAGGCTAAGTCCCTCCCGAGTAGGAGGGACTTCAGGGCTAGGCCTCACATGGCCCTGAGACCTCACCTTGGCAGAGGTATAGCTACAAGGTGGCAGGTAGGACTCCGGTCCTGGGCGCCACCTGACAGAGGATGCCACCGAACAGTTCTACTAGCCCAGTGTGTGCCCTGTCCTCCCTCAAGCATGGAGACACGCAGCCATGGGGTTGGGGACAAAAGGGCCACCAAAGAGGTGAGAAATGACATTCTGAGCCAACATCAATATGACAGATACCTGAGAGGCTGCCAGGCAAAAAGGGGAGGGGGTGGTGGAGACCCTGTAAACCTGGCTGACAACTGTCCATTCATCTTGAAAAGGGCTGGGGGAAGGAGTTGCCACTCTGAGATTGTCCCTGGGTACCCCTTCCTCAGGCGCAGCCTTGCCACGGGCACTAGGTGGGGATTTTAAAAGTCCATGAGGAAAAAAATCCCCGGAAGCAAGAGAATGGGGTGCGAATGTGCTCATTGGCACCGCCCCGATGGCAGCCTCTAGGAAACTTGCCCAGTCCCGCGGAAACAGCAAGCAGTGGCAGATCTTCAGATATTTAATATCAAGGCCTTCCTGGGCTAGCCCTCAGACCCGACCCCTCCGACATTCATCAATGCTGCTCCTCCTGAACCAGAACCCTGGAGTGAGCAGTGACAAGGCTAGTGGGCGCTGCTACGCAGGGCCGTGCCAGGGGCTTAATAAGTGACATAAAATGTCTACACGGATAAGTAACCGTACTTAGGGCTTCTCCCAGGGCCACCCGCGGGGGCGGGTGGGATCAGCGTCAAGAGCCACGCTGCAGGCGGCTGCGCAGGTCCTCCACGCAGCCATCCAGCCCCATGCGCTCCAGGGCCGCGTACACGGCACCCAAGCCCGCCGGCTGCTGCTGACGCCAGCGTTTCAGCATCTCGTACTGCTGGTCACGGAAGCGGCCGATCTCCACTTCCACGGCCTCGATTTCCGCCTCCTGCAGGCCCAGCGTGCGCACGAACTCCTTCCAGCGCCGCGCAGGCACGGCGTCCATGACATCGTACAGTTGTGGGCCCGGCTGGAGCATGGCTGCTGCAGAGCCTGCCAGGGGTGCTGCGGGGAGCGCTGCAGGGACCGCTGGTGTAAGAGACGGGCCTGGGCGGGTCAGAGTGAGCCAATGGGAATGTGCGCCGAGCACGGGCCTCGACCCATTAGGGACCGGAGTGCACGGTCATGGCTGGGAAACAACTTCCCACCTGAGTGGGGAACCTGGCCTCGGTCCATTGGGCTAACTTACCAAGGGCCCGGCTGGGCAGCTGGTCCCAGGACCACGGCAGCTCTGGGCAGGAAACCTCCTGAGTGTGGGGGAAGCCAGGGGCCATGCCGTTGCCTAACAACTGGATAGTGTGAACCTTCTCACTGTTGCTACACGGGGCCAGAAGAGTGTGGGTGCCATCTGGGGATGAGGGATAGGGGGCCTGGAAGCCAAGAGGGCCTCCAAGTCAGCCCTGTCTAATATGACGACCCCTTTCATGGGGTCGCTGGGCAGTTGTGAACAGACCCTTACCCAGTCTGCAAAGCAGACTCCCCCACCCCCACCTGCCTCCCTGGTGGGCCAAGCTCTCCTGCCTCTGGTTTCTACCACCAGAACAGCCATTTCCTGCCTGAACCCCCCTGGTCCCCTGCTTCGACCTCCAGAGCCAACTTTGCGTGACCCTCCTCTCCATCATGGTACTCGGGCCCGTTGGCTACCCGTTGGCCATTCGTTCCTGTATGCGTTATGCACCAGTGGCTGTTGCCTCTGGTGGGGAGGACTGCACTGGCCTTGTTTATGGATTCTCGGCTCTTACTCATCCTTAGGGCTTCCTGTATCAGCCTCTGTCAGTAGAGGCTTGTGTGTTGCTATGATGCTGAACAGGTTTCAAAGGAGCCTGCAGACTAGGAAGAAAGCCCTGGTGAGCTACTTCCAAAATCAGCCTTTGACTAATCTGTGAATCACAACAGCCTTACCCCATTGCCATGGGGTTGCCAGGGTCGAGGGGCTAACTCCAGAGCAGCTGAAAAGCAGCCAGGTGTGCCAGTCACGGTGAAACTACCTGGAGGCCCGACTTCTAAGGTGGCCCAGTGTCCCTACCCCAGAGGTGGAGGCCCGGATGTCTGCCTACACATTTCCCCAGCATGTTAAGAGGCGCTTACCTGCGGGGGGTTTAGGGCTTCCATCCCAGCTTCCTCCACTGAGAAAGAGAGAGGGGCTGGTCAGCGTCTGCGTTCCTTGGTACCCCATACTCCCTGCCTCAGTTCCCATCCTGTATCAGGACGGAGTGGGTTCTAGGCCGCCCACACCAACCCCAGGTCCCCAGGAACATGAGTTGTGTGCTCACCAGGACTCATGGGCTTGCAAGGCTGGCAGTGGCGGAACGTGTAGGTCAGCATGGCACCCAGCAGCAGTGGAATCACTAGGCCTGCCAGGAGCACCTGGACCCAGAACACTGACAGGGCAGCTGGTGGGTGACTACTGGCTGGCCACCACCCCTGAACCCCCTTGGCCCATCCCAGCCCTCCTCCTTTCCCAGCAAACCACCTACTCTGCCTCCAGCCACAGACAGCAGCACAGGGCTCAGGACAGCTCCCCAGGGTGCTCCTGCAAGGGGAGGGGGCCGCATGCGCATAGAGGGCATACCTTAGCAGGGACTCTGTAAGGCTGCCCAACATACCCTTTGCAAGATGGCCTTCCTCCCCCAAGCCTCTGCCCTGAGAGCCTCACTTTACCCACGAATGTTCCAGAAGTACTGCTTAATGTCACCTGTGTCCCTAATAACAATAGCAACGACCAGCATTTACTGAGATTCTTCTAGACCGGATTGAGGTCCAGGAGAATGTCAACGTCAGAAAGACAGCCATTTCACCTAGTTTGTTCCTTTGTCCCCTAGAACAATGTCTGGAAAAGGTAGGTCCTAGCACTGTGGGAAGCCAACAAATATTCTGCTACCTCAAACAGAGAAGCCACAGGTTAAAGGTGAAGTCCCAAGATGGCCCAAGTCAAGGTGACTCTCCTTACATGTGACACAAACCCCATCTTTTAGTGCAGGGTTGGAAGGCTCACTCAAGGGATTTCATTTAGGGGACTCCTGGCAGAGCGACAATGGGGGGTTGCAGATCTGGTTTAAAGCCAACCAGATTACCTTCTCCCCCTGTATTTGCTTCAGATGGGGCCCATCCACCGTGCAGGTGGGCCCCCTCATCTGTGCCTCTCACTCTGAGGCTCCTCCATTTCCAAAACAGCAGCCCCACCTCGGTGTCCCCCACCCTGCTCCCAGCCTCCCTGCTCCCCGGTCCAGAGAGGGCAGGAAGTTACGTGGGGCAGGCTTCGCAGTGGTCAGCGTGTTCATAGAAGCCAGGTAAGCAAGTCCCACAGTCAGCGTCTCTGCTAGAACCTACAGTCCAGGACACAGGATGGTCAGGATGGGTGAGGTGGAGGCAAGGTGAGTCGAGGCAAGAAGTGGGAGTGGGGGTACTCACAGAGCATGGGGTTGTAGCGGTTCAGGGTCCTGCAATTCAAGCAGGGCCGGCACTGGAAGGGCGAGCCGGCCCTGCAGTCCGTGATGGAGCACTCGGCTGACCAGCCCTGTGCACAGCCACAGCGGGTGTCTGCCAGTGCCGAGCAGTTCTCTAGGGCAACCTGAAAGGCTGGTGGGGCCGCAGGGAGATGGGGATACTGAGATGGTCAGAGCTGAGACTCCCCGGGGAGAGGCCGCCGGGCAGAAAGCCCTGAAAATGGAAATCAGGATAGAGCCACAAGAGAGACTGGGTGTCCCCTAAAGGGGACCAGCACAGGGGCCTGCGGGCCAGGAGGGGGGATTTGTAGGGCCCCGCAGCAGCTTCCTTCAGAAAGACCCATAACCCATCCTCTTTCATCACCCCCATCCCCAAAGCAGGAGACAACCCCTCACCCTGCTCATCGCAGGCCTGGCAGCGGGCACAGTGGGTTGAATGATGGTTCTCCCTGGCCAAGAAGCTGCCCTGTGGGCATGGGAGGCAGGTGGCAGCCCCACAGGGCTCTGTGCAGAGGGACTCCAGGTAGTGCCCTGTGGAACCCAGAAGGGCCAGGAAGTCAAAGCCTAGCAACCCCAGACTGCCCACCACTTCCCTCTCCCAGCCTGCCCCCGCCCCACATCTGACCTCCCACCCCACCTGGGGGCCACTCACCGGCTGGGCAACCCCTGCAACAGAACAGGCCAATCTTCTTCTGCGATTCCGTGTCATCACAGTGACACAGGCCGGGCCTGGTGGCCTGGCCCTGTGCTCCCAGAAGCATCAGGAGCAGCGCCTGGGAAGGGGGGCTGCCGACTCCAGAGGGGCTGCCTTCACGTGGCCACCCCACTGACCTTCCCCCCTCTGGAGACCCCAAGATATGTCCCCAGAGCAGCCCCTTCTCAGAAAGGGTGGCCCTAGGCGAGGTCACTACTTTCTGGTCCCTGCACAGAACAGGCTTCCAGAGGTGGGGGTTCCCGGCAGCCCTTCTCATGAGTTGTCCCCAGGGCAGGAACTGAGGTGGCTCCCACTGGAGTTTTTAATGAGGAGAGGGCACTGATGCTTCTCTGCCTGGGCCCCCAGACTCCTCTGGCCCCCAGGAGTGTATTTCCTCCCAGCGGAAGGCCCTGCCCAGGCTGAAGTTTCTAAGTAGGTCGGAGGGGAGGGGGGGAGGGGGAGCCAGCTTAGCCCCAGCAGGCTAGGAGAAAGCCTTTCCGCAGGGGGCCCCTTCCTTTGCTGCCCGCGACTAGTGCCCAGGAAGGACTCCAGGCTATGCCAGATCCCACGCCCCACTCACCCCGGTCACCGCCCAGCACCTAGGCCACCGCTCCATGCTCCACGCTTGGCCCTCTGACAGCATGCTCGGCAGGCTCCCTGTACCGCCTGCCAGCTGCGCGCCAGTGGCAGGGCCCGCCCCATGAGAGCCCGCCTCAGGGTGGTGGCCAGGGCGGGGCACACCCATTCCCCAGAGCTCCCCAACGCGAACCACCACTGGGGTACATCACTTGGGGTAAGGGCACAAATAGGACCTGGCAGATCCCGGCCCCCACAGGGAGGGTTCTAGTCCCTGCCTAGGACAAGTGATCCCCCTCTCTGGCCTTGGTAGCCCCAGCATGGAGAGGGGGGTCTGCCTATAGTGCCTGAACGGCCCCAAGGAAAGGAGCTACCTTCCCGAAGGACTTGTGGGGGCATGAATGCAGGGGCTCCCCTCCACTGGAAGGCAAGGGCTGGATTCTTAGTTGCTCCCTCACCAAGGTTGGAGCCCCATGGCCCCAGCCCCTGGGGCCAGGCTCAGGTCAAGGACTCGGAGTCCTCATGGAGGGTGCTGAGCATGTCCTGGGGGCCAGGGTAGGGGAAGCGGCCTGACCCTGGCGTTGGTCCTGGAGGCCCTGCCCTCTACTTCCCACCACCTCTGCAAGGCCTGTGCCATTGTGGGGAGAGGAGTGGCACAGGACAGGGCAGGAACCACCCTTGATTTTACGCCCACCTGAGCGGGGAAGGGAGCCGATTCTGGAAGTAAAACACGCTTTCCAATGGAGTATATACATATTTTTATAAAAGAACTGAAAGCTCAATAAATATGCACCTTTACACGGAGCCCGCCCCAAGGCCTGTGAGGCCAGCAGGGCTGGGGAGGGTGGGGACAGGGGAAGGTCCAGTCCAGTTGGGGGTAAAAGATGGGGGAGGGAAGCCTGGATCCCAAGCCCTGGAGTCTAGCCCAGGGTGCACAGCTGGAAACATCCAGGAGGGGGCAAGGGACCCCGGGCTGGGCAGACCCAGGTCAGGTTAGTGAGGGCGGTGGCAGTGGGGGGGGTATAGGGGGCATGGTTCTGCGGCCTGGGCATCCCCCAATTCCATCCAGACAGTCTGACAAAGTGCAAATTGGCCCCATGGCGACAGGAATGCCCACATTCCCTGCCCAGAGGCAGGGGCTGGGGCAGTCAGCGGCACCCTCGAGGCATGCTGCCTGCTCTCCCTTGGGCAGTGGCACGCTTGGGAGCCTCCCTCTGCTCATACCTCCCTGCAGGGGAGAAGGGCAGACAGTGCTTCCTTGACATATGCTACAATGCAGGGCCCTGGCCACCCTCTCCTGCCCACTGGAACCCTCAGGCCGAGTGCCACTGCCAACCAGAGCCACCCCCAGCCAGGCCCTAGGACAGGTCTCTAGCTCCCACAGCCCATCACCACCCTCATTGTGACTGGGTAGCCCTACCCACTCACTGTTGCAATTGCTGTCTCCAGAAATGTCAGCATGCTGCCCCCACCCACCACTCCCCACACCCCCTTGAGGTTACTCACGAAGCAGTAAGCGTGGAGTTGAGAAGCAGGGTGGTCCTGATTCGATAGAGCTGGGCCAAGGTCAGCTTTCTGTGCTGGGCAGAGATGCTTGGGGGGGACTCAGGCTGGACCCTGGACAAGGACCCTAAGGGCAGCTCCCTGCACTGCCTCTTGGTAGGGTCTGTGGGCTCCCCAGCTGGGCCGCTGGCTCCATCCTCAGACTCTGACAGCTCAGGGCCACTGCCAGGGCTGGGTGCTTCTTGGCAGTCCCAGCGGGGCCGAGCTTCCCGAGGCGGGCCCTGAGTCCTAACTCGGGGAGTGGTAGCAGCCAGGCAGAGCTCCGAGCGGCTGCGGCTAGGTGCTGGCGGTGCTCCGAGCCTGGCATTCCCTGACAGCAGCTGGAGGAGGCTTGCCTCCGACTTGGACTTGAGCAAGTGGGGCAAGCAGGGCAGCAGCTGGACAGGGGTGCGACGGCGGCGAAGACGGGGTGAGGGTGGAGGCGAGGGCACTTGAGGCAACTCTGGGGACCGGGGCACTGGCTCCGCCACAGGGGCTGGGGCCACAAAGTCTTGTACGGAGGTGGGCGAGAGGGTGCCGTAGGCAGAGTCCATGGAACAGGACCGGCCATCCACGGGGCCCAGGGGCAGCAGCTCGCTGGTGGGAGTGATGGAGGAGGTTGTGGTGCTGAGGGAGGTCTCATCTGACTGGGAGCTGAAGGGGCCGCCTTCAAACTCAGGCGAGGACAGCGTCTCCCCCGGCTCTACCACCACCATGGCCAGGGTCTCTGTGGAGCCATCTGAGGCACTGTGGGGACCAGAGGAGAGCATCAGCCCTGCCAATGGGAACCCCACTGCCTGAGGCAGCCCCGGGCCAGCAACACCCAGAGGCTTACAGCCTCCCCCTCTGGAGCTCAAGGCTTGGAGATACAAGCCTATAGCACATGTACCAGTAGCCTAGCATCTGTGCCCTTAACAGACATCAACTGTGGATCACAGCACAGTCTAAAGCTTCAACCTAGCACTGGTACCTACCAGTGACTTGCCTAGGATGGAAACAGTTCACTCTCCCCTCCTAGACCCTGACCAGAGACAGAGTGTAGGCACACTGTGCCTAGTGACTTCACAGCACAATGCTCTTCAGAGGAAGGAGGCGTGGGCAGGCCCTGGCCGAAGTCCATGGCTTTGGAAGTGGAAGGCCTGCTCTGCTGAATGGCGTTGGGCAAGCGTACCAGTGCTGAGAGTCCAGGCTATCACTGCTTTTGCGTAGAATGGTTGGGGAGCTGGCTGCCGATGTGCTGCTCTCCCCATCCTCCTCCTCCTCTTCCTCCTCCTCCTGCTCATCCTCCTCCTCCTCCAGGCTCTGCAGGGGCTGTTGGCTGCCTGGGGACTCCTGTGAGCGCAGCTGCTGCAGCTGGTTCTGCAGGTCAGGCAGGAGGCGCACAGGGGCAGATGGGCTGTGAGCAGCAGCCCCCACCAGAAAGGCCCTGTCTGCCCCAGGCACCCGCACACCACTCTGCCCTCACCTGGGCATTGAAAATGGCGTCAACCCAACTGCGGCATAAGGCCTGGCCACTGGCCTGGAAGGTGTAGGCCCCCACGGCGCTGTGGAACTCATTCAGGTGGATGAGGAGGAAGGACCCTGGTGGGAGAGCCGCAGAGCAGTCAAGACCACAGCTCCTTCCCCACCAGCCTCGACTCAGGAGCTGGGGGCTGGGGCTCCTCACCAGGGTCCCGCAGCTCCCGACACACAACCCTGTCCACTAGCAGTGGTGGCCTGATGACCTTGGTCCTCTCAGCCTTCTTCACCGCCTTGGTCACCAAGAGCAGGTCCGTGAAGAGGAAGCAGTACACGTCCATCTGCGGAAAGGGAGAAGGAGAGATGGTGGGGTCCTGGGGTCTCAGGTGGGGACCATCAATCAGCCTGCCCATGGGGGTGAGGGAGGGGCCTCAGATCCTGACATTCCCCGCCCGCCCCCTGGCCCCGTCATCTGCCAAAGTGAAAACTCTCAGTAAAACGAACACTGAATAGTTCAAAGACTGCTGACCATGGCCCAAGGTGTCTTCTATCTCAGGCTGATAAAAACTGGTCCTTAAATTCCAGTTAAAGGATAGGACAGGCTAGATGAACAATCTGGAGGAGAAAACAACAGGACTGACAGTTCCGGGGGGACATGGGAGAGGAGGAGGTGGGGGGAAGGGAAGAGGTGTTAACAAACCCAGGGACAAGGGAACAACA